ACTGCAGGGTCGGCCCTATCGAAATGATGTAATTACCGGTAATTTGACTATACAGGTAAGTCAGTCGTACTGTTTATTAGTGACACTGTATATTCGGTATTATTAGCAAAACTCTAAAATCCTATAATTTGCTTTCTTTGAAAGGCGGAAAACGGATTGAATGATAGCGTTTTGCGAATGATAAAGCCCGCTATAGAAGTTACTCACTATAGTTTTTTTTGTCGAGGGCTGTTTTCAAAGCAAGTTAGAAGCAGTTTTGACTCCCTGACATGCTGCAGTAATCAATTTATAAATGAAACAAATAAACAAATCGTCAAGCTGTTGCTTTCTTCATTAGAATTTTCAAAACATTAGCTTGATCCTAAGCGCCATCTGCTATTGCTTTAAGATCATCACTTTTCGAATAAATCATTTGGGTATTTGATGTTGGTGATGTTTTGAACAAGCCCATCGGAAATTTGCAAAAAAAGAATACGAAGTACCAGGATGCATCTCTCCACTCGATCTTTAAATGTACCATTGCAGTTCGACTTCTATTATGACCCATCGTTGGTTACAGTGGGTAAACAAGTGGATCAGGTAGTCATTCGGAGCAATGTCGACCAATTCCGGGAAACAGTCAGCAGTACAAGAAGACCAGTTTATGATCCACGAGGTGAAAAGGCAAAATTTTTAGATATCAAGTGATTTTTTATAAAATCCTTGATCGATTTGTTTAATTTCTCTCCAGAACCTGTTATGCAAAATAGAGTAAGTCCCTCAGCTGCACTTGCTTGGGATTCATGCGGTCTTAGACTCCAACTTGCATTTCAAAAAATCAACTTTTAGAAAACGAAATTTGCGTGACATTTTGATCCTAAATGACCGCTGTTCTAGTAGGAGCATCAGCTCGCTTTATTTATCATGTGGTCACTTGACAAATTATCAGTTTAAGAATGGCAGACTTGACTGTGGCGGTAACAACAAGGTCGTTCGAATCGCAATGTAGATGTTCCAAGTTGATGAAGTTATAGGGATGCTCCCACCCGCCCAGCGCAGCTGTTAGACCCTTCAGTCCTGGAACTGCATACTTCCGGATAGTATCCTTCGCCTTTTTGATGCATTTTTGTCGCCTCTCAGAACATGATTATTTGAAAGAAAAAAAAATGATATTGCTTTTTTCAAGGATTTTTTATTAAAAATTTCGAATTTTAGCCCAATACGCCTTTCGTTAATTAATTTTGATAACATTCTCTCCCATTTTCCGTCTCCATGAACTGCTTACCAAACTGCTATTATTTCAAGCTAATTTAATGCAGTGTTACAGACAGCTTTGGGGCACACGATGCTCATGAAATTGTGCCAACGAAAACTACAACGGTTACCGTGAAGACTGTCTCTCAGGTCAGACTACTCTTTCCCCCGTTGTTGTGGCCAAGAATAACAAGTACCATGTTCTTTTTCTCCTCCCTCTCTCTTCTTAATCTAACTTCTTACTAACGTTGATAAGAACAGTGTCCGAAATTCCGATAATTTTGTAGGCATTACCAGCTCTGCCTCCCACACACGTCACAAAATCCAGTATTCGTAACTGCATGGCTAATTAATGTAGCTGGGTATTGGATAAAGCTACTGTTATTTCGGGAAATAAATTTAATAGCGCAGATTATGAACTCCTGAAGCATGCGATCTGATGCATCACGACTTTAAAAAATTTTATTGGTTCAGTACCTTCAGTTTTCTGAAATTTTGTGACTTTTATTTCACGGCCTTTGCTGTTATCTACAGAAATTTATTAGAAACATTTTGAGAATTCCAGGTAGACCTGATCCCAACTATTTTGTTCTCAGTTTCCTTCAGCGCAATTAAGAATCTTCACAGAATGTTTAATTTTGAGCTTGCTAACATAAAATTAATACTGTAAACGTGTCCAAGAGAAATTTTTCGATTTTAATAACTATATGCAAAATTTGCTTTCCAACTTTTTATTTCTTGCTTTCTCCGTTCGGTTTTGCAGTTCTATTTTTAATCTTTTTTTTTACGCAGCTTCTAAAAATACTCCCTGCGTGTCATTGATTAGACTATAAAAGCAGAACGTTTAGCTGCCATCGAACGATAAGCTTCAACCATCAGGGCTGACTGTGCAGCAGCAACAGCATCAGCCAACGACCGCTCCGGCAGCGCCAGGAATGCATTCACCACAACAGCAACAGCAACAACAACAGCAGCAAAGAATACAACAACAGCAAGCACGGCAACATGCGGATTATGACGGAGGGGTTGAGTTTTTTGTTACTGATTTTACCAGAGATAACCATCGTTATCTTAAGCGGAAAAACTGGCTATTCTGTCCTTTTCAGGTGCAAAGTAACTATGGAGACGATAGCGAATTATGCTATTTTTTAGTTAAATGCACAAAAATTTCTTAATTGTGCAAAAACATTTTCTCCTCAGTAATAGAATTTTTTCTTTCGAGCGCAGTCGGGATTTTCATATCAAAGAAATTTTAGACATTAACCGTTCTTTGTTTTTCCCTGATGGAAGTTTTTATAGGGCCTTGATCATCATACCCAAAAGACTGGTACCAGTGAATTACAAAAACAACAGCAGCATCACGTATCCTATAGTACAGTAACGCAACAGCAGCACTTAGCTACTCAGCCGAAGCAGCAGTTCGTTACTGCATCACAGGTAACACCTTTTACTAAATTGATCAGGCACACTTTTATTATTTTCCGACAATTTCCCTGCTTGGAATGCTGTACGCATCTATAAGAAGAGCGTTCTGAATCAGATGCGACTCTAAATAGAAAGTGACTCAAAATAAAAATGGACGTGTGGCTGCGTCTCAAGAAGACCGAGAACTCCAGTCAGTAGAGCTTCAACGATCTTGGTGACCTTGATGGGGGTAATACTGGATTTAAATTAAAAGAGAAGCTGAACGAGATTTTTCTGAAATTATTCTCCGCAAATTTTGTGCCTCAACCGTTTCGTCTTCTCATTTTTCCTCTTGTTCTCTTCTTCCTCATTTCCATCTTGTAACTGTCTTTTATTCGCTTCCTTGAATTAGGCAGGCTATTTTCATCTCACAACAACTTCTTGAACTTTGCCCTCTCAAAAGTTTTTTGTCGCCTTCATGTTCCAGACTGCATTTCAGTTACTGTTTCGCAGACACCAGACAATTTTCCTCTGCTGCTTGCCTTACAAGACATCCATCGGTAACATCGGACCTCCACATCAGTAGTTCAAGCTACCGTGGTGTTAGGTGGTACTTGCGAAATACAGTTGAAATTGTTGCACAGCTTGTGTAAGATGGATTGTTTCCATGATTTCTCTTGTAGCCTGTAACGAGCATCGGGCAACAGCAACAGCAGCAACATCCTATGCCCGGAAGTAGTGCTGGAACAACTTCTCTGGATATGATGGCGCAGCGTGCACCTACTGCGTTAAAAAGCCAAGAAGCCAGCATCACCACTTATCCCCAACAACGGTATGGTTTGATGTGGATTTTCAAGTCACATTTTTCAGCACCTTCTATTAGGGCATTTATATTAACAAGAGCTCTGGAGATTTTGATAAGTTTTGCATGTTTCGTGTGCTAACGCATTATATTGAAATCTCAGCTGAAAAAGATGGAGCAAGTAAATGAAACAGACGAAGGATAATAACTAGAGCCATGCAGCCCAGGATCGGACACCTGACAAGCTGCATCCGGCATGCAGAAGCATCCTAACATCACTTTTATATGATACACCGATTGTCCGGATGTCTTATCGCTGATGACAAGGCTGAGTTGTGTTAGCTGACCACTAAAACCAGAGAAAGGCTGAGGAATTGAAATTCTGGAAAGACTTTAGCTGTGTACGATGTTGCAAATCTGCAAATAACTTTGTTCACTTTCTTTGTCGTGAAGCAAAAATTAGTTCTGAATTCATGCCTTGGGAAATAGCGCTATGCCAAAGCTTTTTTTAGTTCTCAAAATTTGCTGTTGACATCTGGCTGATTTCCTAGTCATGGGACATCGGGTCACAAAACCAGTTAAACCAAATTCATAAAGTGAAAAGGCTTAAACTGCATTTGTTTATAAAATTATCTGTAAATCTGACAAGGTAATCGAAGAGAAGCCATCCTGGTCAAGAATTTCAAGATTTTTCTTTTTACCTCGGAAGACGACAAGGCCTAATGCCGCTCTTTGAATGTGGCGAGCACTTACGCAACACAAACAATGTTTTTTTTTAAAAAAAAAGAAAAAAAAAACAAAACAAGCAAAAAAATTGGGAATCGAAGCGAGCTAGATCAGATTCGGCAGCAGCTCTAGCATTCTGTCGCACATTGGGCACAATATGTGTAATAACACACTGGTTCACAAAAACAGTTTCATTTCTGATTACGTCTTTATATATCCGGCCGAAAAGTCATGAGACGGGGCATTTCTATATCACATGGAGGCGAGGGGCAATTGGGCAAGGCGAAGGGTTCGGACGGCAGCTTCATTTTCTTGCTGTTAACATCTGCTTCCTTTTGCGGCAGGGGCACAGAATTTCAACCGCGTCTTAAAACTAGCTTTGGAAAGAAGAACCCGCCTTTCATGTTTATTTTATTCACGGTGCTTCATTTTAGGGTCAACAGATTCCTGCCTGTTTCTTGAAGAAGTTTAAGTTTACATTTCATGAGCATTTATCTTAAAAAAAATGCACATCTATCACATTCATTACAGGTATGAGCAACAGCTAGAACACGAAGCAAAAGCAATTATAAATGATAAGCCGGAGACGCTGAATGTCAGCACATCTGAAGAAACCGACAAAATGCATCTTTCTAGAGGTCTAATACTTAATTCTGATGCTTTGATCAGCTGTCATTCAGCAGAGCG